GCAAAAGTAAATTTTGGATCAGGAAGATAGCCTTATCCAGAACCTCAAATAATCTTACAAGTTGTTAATACAGTGTCTAGAATTCAATAAAAATTTTTCCAGATAAACAAAATGATAAAAACTTACTTAAATTGAAGAGAACAAAAAGATAACAGAAATAGACCTATAGGAAATTCAGATATTGAAACTATCAGACAAGACTTTTAAGGAATTGTGATTAAATAATAAGCTGGAGAATTCCAACAGAAACTTAGAAACGCATAAGAATAAAACTGAAATTTTAGAACTAAAAATGTAATCATTGAAATTAAGAAGTATTACTGAGTTTAACAGCAGGTTAGGAACAACTGAATAGAAAAATTAATAAATTGGAAACCAAGTCACAAGGAAATATACAAACTGAAGCACAGTAAAATGAAAGTATAGAGAATATAAGTGTATAAGAAGCATATAATGGGGACTCCCCCCCCAAAAATGGAATTATCTTTTGGTGGGTGGGCCCCTTGTAGTACACTTGGAATTTGTTCCTCCATATCAGATGGCCAATCAAAGTTTTTATCTGAAGTTTTGAGAAGGGTGTGTAACGACTTGCAGAAGAAATATTCCAAGTTGTGGCATACAGGTGACTGGTTCTTTTACCATGAAAACACACTTGTCCACAGTGTTCTTGAGTGGTCAGCAGTTTTTTTCACCAAAAACAGCATGACCCCCATGCTCCACTCTCCCTATTCACCCCATCTCTCCACAACTGACTTTTTTTGTTTGTTTCCCTGCATGAAAAAAGTCCTCAAAGGGAAACATTTTGCCAATGTGGAAGAGGTGGGAAAAAAAGGGCAGAAGCACGAAAAGGCATCAAAACTGTTTTGAGCAGTGGAAAAAGTGTCTTGATCAGTGTATTGCATCAAATGGAGAGTACTTTGAAGGTGACTGAAGTATAAACATGTAAGAATAAACACATAATTTTTTATAAATAAATTATTGGGGTTTTTGGATCCCTCCTTGTACAGCTCATGGTGAAAGGCTATAGAACAGTATTTATGTAGAATCTCATTGATATAAACTGATGTTCAGGTACAAAAAGCAATACACAAAGATTTTTTTTTATTTAATCAATATTTTTTATTATGATATTGTGGGGTACAGTTAAGGGTTAGATGTGCAAATACATTTCATTCAGGCCTCCTGTTGATAAGAGGTGTTTCCCTGTCCCCAGACAGATATTTGCTACCGTTAATCCCATCTCCCTCCCCCCCATAGTTTCCCACTACTGTCAGTCATTTTCTTATAGTATTACATTGGATGTTCAAGGTCCATTATATGAGTGAGAACATGTGATACTCGGATCTTTGTTTCTGTGAGAGGTCAGTCAGTATTATAGACTCTAGCTCCATCCAGGTTTCTGCGAAATTCATGATTTTGTTCTTTTTTATGGCTGCATAGTATTCCATTGTGTATATATACCACATTTAAAAAATCCAGTCCTCTTTTGATGGGCAGCATGATTGCTTCCAGGTTCTTGCTATTGTGAACAATGAGATGATAAACATACGTGTGCAGGTATCTTTTTTATAGAGTGATTTGAGTTCTTCAGGGTATATTCCCAGTAGGGGTCATATGGGAGGTTGATATTTAGAGCTTTTAGGAATCGCCACACTGCTTTCCACAGAGGTTGCACTAGTTTACACTCCCACCAACAGTGTAGCAGTGTTCCCTTTTCGCCACACCCTCTCCAGCAGCTGTTATTTTTTGAGTTGTTGATAATTGCCATTCTGGCTGGAGTTAGGTGGTATCTCAGTGTGGTTTTGATTTGCATCTCCCTGATGATTAGTGAGGTTGAACATTTCTTCATGTGTCTGTTGGCTGCTCGAATGTCTTCCTTTGTGAAGTGTCTGTTCATATCTTTTGCCCATTTATAATGGGGTTGGTTTTTTTTTCTTTTCAGCACATTTGAGTTCCTCGTAGATCCAAGATGTTAAGCCTTTGTCAGACCTGGTGTTGGCAAATACTTTTTCCTAGTCTGTAGGCTGTCTCCCTGCTCTCTTGATGGTTTCTTTGGCTTTGCAGAAGCTTGTCAGTTTAATAAGGTCCCACTTGTCTATCCTCTCTCTTATGACTTGTGGGTTTTGGGTCTTGTTCAGGAACTGGATGCCAGTTCCAATTTCCATGAGGGTATGTCCTTCAGTTTCTAAGGTTCTTATGGCACAAAGATATTAAGAGCAGTTAGTTCTGAAGGGTGACAGTTGAGGTATAGTTTAGTCATTTTATATATTTCCAATTTTTCTGAAATTGATTTGTACTATGTTTATTATGAAGAAAAGGTTTTATTTCTCTCCCCTGTCAAATTCATCCATGTGTACCACAGCATTTCTCAGAGTATGTTTCTAGAAAATACTAGTTTTTTGGCTAATAAATATGTCAAGAAGAATGGTTTCTGATATTTAACAAATTTGGTAAATACTGTGTTAAATCGACTTTTAGTTAGACGAACTACTTTATTCATGACTATTTAGTTAGTTAACTACTTTGTGAGTTAGAATTGACATTGGCACTTTTATTGTTTTTGATTGTTCATTTATTTGTTTACTTATTTCTGTCAAACTCCTCAGTCTTTACTATACTATTGTGCATTGTGAAGCTTGAAGAAAAGATCAGTGTTTCTGAGCCTATTTGAGCAAGAAATCTTTTTGTCACAGAATTTTTCAGAGGACCAGAGTTCCAGGCAACAGGCTTTGGAAAATGCTTGCCTAGAGGCAGAAGAAATCCTATGTTTTTTAACACAACATGTCAGTGTCTATCTATCACATCTACTCTCTCCTGTCTGTGCTATTCTGCTTTTTTTGCATAATCTTCATGCCTTTATGCTTTTAACATATTGTGTCTTCTGTTTGGAATACTCCCATGCCTGCCCCCTTGCTATTTTCTAATGCTTTTAACACTCAGTGGCCATATGCCTCATCTATGAAGTCAGGCCCATCTCCTTTTCATTCAACCAGAGCTTTGAACATGCTTCCAGCAGAATTCTTAGCACCTTATGGCATCCTTGTCCTAGTACTTGCCTCTTTCCTACTAGACTGGAGCTTAGATTATACAGGTCTGCATCCACAGGACTGAGCATTAGGCCAGCCATAGAGTGAGCATCAATGAACCCTTGATAAATAAATGAGGCCAGCATCAGGGTTAACTGTCTTTTCTTTAAAAGGATAACACATATTTTTCATGTAATGTTTATTTCTTCCTATAAAAACAATATATGATGATAGTAAAAATTTTAGAGAGTAAAGAACAACCAAGAATAAAAATCATTTATCTTACTACCCAGTAATATCTAGTATTAACATGTTAATACATATTCTTTCAGCGTTTAAAAAATGCATGTTTTTTAAAACTTAGATTAATTTTATATGCAATTCTACATCTTGATTTTTCTGCCAACACCATATTATACTTTTCAGTGATATTTAATGTTATGAAGCATGATATATATTATAATATTGGTTGCACAGTATTTCACAAGACTAGTAAGTCATATTTATAGCTATTTCCAATAATTATTTAATAAAAATCTTGTACATAAAACTTTGCATTTCTGACTTTTCCTTAGGAAAGAGTCCTAAAGGTGATATTTCTAGACACAAGTATATGAATATTGTAAAGGTTCATGATATATATTTTTACATGTTTCCTATGTGTTGATATTTTTATTAAATGAATTAAGCATGTAATATTCTTGAAACTGTAATTTGGCATACAAATATTCAATACATAGAGCTATAGTAATTAGTATTATCACTGTTTAACAAGTATGTTGAGTACCTACTTTGTGGAAGACACTGCTCGAGGAAGGTAGAAACAATTATCTTCTTTTCAGCAGTGAATGTCAGTGTCAGTCTGACTGCATCCTGATCTGCATTGAGTATCCTCATTTTTCGAAACTTGTTAGTTCATAAGTGGACAATGGTGTTCCACTGATTCATGTTTATCAGTAACAAAAGCATATGATTTTGGCTAAACAACAACACTGAATCTTTCAAATTTCCTTTCCTTTTTAGAAAGTGCCACCATTTTCTGCAATTTTCTACTCCTCATTTATTGTCACTCACCAGCACCATCTTCCCTCTTTGACTTTTCCCATGGAGTGCTCTTTATTTTACCCATCACATATTTGTTAAAGGCCAGTAAACAGAAAGTTTGGGGCTAGATCCTGAGGATACAACAGTAAACCAGACAGTCACGGTCATAGAACTTGAATCTAGCAGAGAACTAAGATGTCCAGCCACATGCCTTCATTCATATGAGAGAGAAGTTTCAGGATGCATTGGAAGGCTAACTCACTTTTGATTTTTTGGAGCTCAAGAAAAGTCCTCTTTAAGAAGCTCTGGTTTACACCAAATATAATGGATGGATAGGAATTGACTGTCTGTAGGTGTAGGAAGCCCTCATGTGCAAAAGGCATCCACGCAATGCCAGGCATCCAGTTTATGGGGAGTGAGGGAACAAGGAACGGAGTGATGTAAGATGAGTCTGGAAAGGTCAGTGGAGACAGATCACACCTGGCCTCAAGCCATCCCACCTTGTCTCACTCCAAAACTCGTTGCTCCTCTTGGTCCAGGAATCCTCCAATGTCAGTGTCCTTTTCCTTTCCAATGCACCTAATAAAGAATGTGTAATTTCCAGAGGGTAGTGAGCTTTTCTCAAGGTTCAGCCACAGGACATACCCAAAAGCCCATTCCTTTTGTCTCAATAAAAGATTCCAGTGGTTCAGATACACCTCTTTTGCTAAACAAAAGGAACTAAAGGACTGATATGCCTGGAAAATGTTTCACAGTGTCTGGTTCTATCAGCCAAATAGTCAGCTTTCTCCCAAGAACCTGTGTAGAGTTGAGATTGGGAGCTGGGAGGGAGTGTGCACTGGTGCTGCTGGGTCATGTGATGAATGTTGTGGGTAATGACTGTGCACTGGAAATCTTGTTTCTCTGATTCCAAGCTGTCCTTCCAGGGACTTATTCGGGGGCCCTGCCCCAGCCTGTCACCTTGAGGAAAGCCCTCTTCACGTCCTTGTTCCGGAAGCTATAGATGATGGGGTTGAGGAAGGCAGAGATGACATTGTAGAATAGAGCCAACTTCTTGTCATCCTCTGAGGAGGTCTTAGTGCCAGGCCTCATGTACATGACCATGGCTGGCACACAGAACATGGTGACCACAGTGATATGGGAGGCACAGGTGGAGAAGGCCTTTAGCCGCCCCTGTGCTGAACGGATCTTCAAGATGGCAATGAAGATATTGACATAAATTATAAGGATGAGGGACAGTGGGATCAGGATGACACTAAAACCAAGAATGAAGTCAACTTGGTCATTAACTGAGGTGTCTGCACAAGCCAGTTTTAAGACTGCAGGAACTTCACAGAAGAAGTGGTTGATCTGATTGGGGCCACAGTAGGGCAGACGCATGGCAAAGAAAGTATAAACAAGGGCAGAAGTGACACCCCAGAGTCCACAGAAAATGACCATTACCCCACAGAGCCATGGGCTCATGATGACCTTGTATCTGAGTGGGTGGCAGATGGCCACATACCTGTCTATAGACATGATGGCAAAGAGCCAGGACTCAGTGATGCCTAGCACCAAGAAAATGTACATTTGGGCCACACAGCTAGCAAAAGAGATGGTCTTCCTCCGACTGGCCAGATGTGCCAACATCTGGGGCATGGTTGTAGTGGTGTAGCCCAGATCCAAAATGGAAAGCATACTGATGAAGAAGTACATAGGAGTGTGGAGGTGTGAGTCCAGGCAGATGAGGATGGTAATCAAGCTATTGCCCAGAATAATCAACAGGTAGATCATCAGAAAGACCAAGAAGAGCAGAGGAATGGTCCCGGGGCCAAGGGGAAAGCCCAGAAGGATGAATTCAGTCACAAAGGATTTGTTGGGCTCTTGCATCGTGTTCTATCTATCAATGAAAGGCACCAATTCAGACAGGGAACTTGCTCAGGTTTTCACTACAGCTGGAGTCACTGGTTGGGCTGGGGAGTAGTCAGTGCTCAGTTACAATGAAACATGATTCTCCCAACAAGACAACCCATTTTACCAATTCTGTCCACTGCCACCCCTCCCAGGAAATTCATAAAGAGGAGAGCTTTGCATCTAGTACTGGCTGTGCCTGAAACCACAAGCAGTTCCTCAGTTTCTCCAGCCGTCAAATGAAACCACTGGACTGGCTAATCTCTAATTACCCTTAGCATCCTCCTCTTCTTAGTGAGGCACTTATGTTTCCTTCATGCTGCTAGGTGTTTAGAAATAAGTATTGGTCCACAGACTATATACAAGTTGGTAAATTTCAGAGGCCTGTGACGGTGAGAAATATCATTTTGTCCTTCTAAAGACATCAATTTATTTTTCCACTCTAATTTTACTCTCAGTCTGTCCAAAGGCTAGAACAGCTCTCTGACTACCCATTCACCCCATCTCAGGCCACAGTGTATTAGAAGGAACACTGACTTCTAGATCCTAGCTGTATAATTCACCGAGTGAATGACCTTGAACAATTCATTTGCCCTTCCCATGCCTTTTTGAGACTTCTTCCACAAGTATAGAAGGAGAATAATTTTCTCTTTGTTACAGGATTGCTGTAAAGGTTAGGTGATATTTTGGCATGAAAACTATCACACAGAAGACAAAACATGTGGTAGATGCTCAGTAAATGTTAACTGCATTTCTGCATAACTCTCCATACACAAGACTAGGATTCAGGTCCAATCTGTGCAAGCAAACTCCTGAGAAGTCACTCCATCATCCTTGCTACCCACGATCAATATTCATTGTCCCAGATGTTTACCTTCTGTTCTCCTCACAAAAGCCAGCATTCCATTCACTATTTTAGCTTCTTACTAACTCTTAGCTCTGTCTCAACTTAACCTCCCTGAACCTCCATTTCTTCATGGGAACAGAAGAAGGATAACCTCTCTGAAGAGGTGCATAGTTGGTAGTTACGAAATGGAGTGATCTTGATGCTCTCAGTGTTATTCCTTCTTCTGGTAACAATTGATCTGATCACTACATATGTATTCCCTAATCTGTTTGTTCTCTTTCAGAGCATCATGAATGAGTCTTCACAAGAATGTGTCTACACGGAAAACACTAGAAGTTCTCTTGACTTTGGTCAATAGGACTACATACAGTTTGAACCATCTTTCCAGGACCTTCCAGGTGTGTTCTGATAGCTGTCACGTAGCTGGCAAACAACTTTTTAAAAAAAAAATTAAATCTCTACCTTCCACCCAAGAACCTTTGTAGGTCATGTTATCTTCCTAGGTTGGACTCAGTTCCTTCATCTGCACAAAATATAATGGTGCTTGGGTCAGGTGGTCTCTAAGGGAGAGAAACCATAGGGCAGGGTGGAAAGGGAATGGGGTTTAGAGACAGCTGCTTCTGCTTGAATACTGGTTCTGACTTCACCTGTTTTGTGATTTAGGCTGTTAGCTCACTTCTCCAGGTTTCTGTTTCTTTGACTTTAAAATAGGAATAAACATACCCACTTTGCGGCCAGGCTCGGTGGCTCAGCCTGTAATCCCAGAATTTTGGGAGGCCAAGGCGAGTGGATTGCCTGAGCCCACAGGTTTGAGACCAGCCTGGGCAACTTGGCAAGACCTTGTCTCTACAA